TTTGTTCTTGTTTTGTAGGACATGGAAACTGTTCGCAGGAAGACAATTCAGATTAGCCTTGTAAGGATCCCTCCTCAGCTTAAGGAGCTTATATCCAGGATTCCCGAGAGCTCTTCATTTAGTGAAAGACATGGAAGACTCATCAGCTTGGTCGACACCAACATTGAGGAAGATATGATAAAGGTCATGTTCCAGTTCTTTGACCCTCTGCATCACTGTTTCACTTTCCTGGATTATCAACTGGTACCTACATTGGAAGAGTTCTCCCGGCTTCTGAAGATCCATATCCTTGATCAACTACCCTACAACGGTACGGAAAAGGAACCCAAGCTTGAAGAGATTGCTAAAGCCTTACACCTACAATCATCTAACCTCAAGGGACATTGGGAAGTTAGAAGTGGCATCAAAGGGTTCTTAGCCAGGTTTCTGTTTGAAAAGGCCCAGGAATGTTGGAACTCCCTTGACTTACAAGCTTTTGAAGAAGTTATGGCCCTCCTTGTCTATGGTTTGGTGTTATTCCCTAACCCAGATCAGCTTATAGATATCAGTGCTGTCCAGATCTTCATGTCCAGGAATCCTATACATACGTTGCTGGGGGACATCCTTCACTCATGTTACACTCGAACCATGAGAAAAAGAGATGTTCTTATGTGCTGTACTCCTCTCTTGGGAAGGTGGTTTATTTCGCACCTTCCACAATCAGTTTTGAAGAACGAGCGGGGTTTGAGATGGTCACAACGATTGATGACTCTTACGCATGCTGACATACATTGGTGTTCTCGGTCCAGAGAGGATGTCACTATCATTGATCATTGCGGGGAGTACCCTAATGTTCCTTTACTTGGAATCAGAGGAGGTATTACTTACAACCCGTGTCTGGCTTGGAGACAGTTTGGTTATGCTCGGAGGGATGGCCCTCATGACATGTTAATTTCTGACATAGTTTTTGATTTCGACAACGATGCACAAGGACTTCGCCAGAGATTTATCAGAGCTTGGAGGATGCCAAGTAGGATAGACAGCAAGACCCTGGGGCACAAGAATTCCATCCCATTGGAACCTTATCTCAAGTGGGTACGAGCCCGCTCCCAGAAGTTAGTAATGCCTTCCGCGACATTTCGCGAACCAGCGTTAAACAGTCAGTTCCAGATTCACCGATCACAGAAACTAAGGGCTTTGAAAGCCTATTTAAAGGGAAATTAGAGTCGTTAGAGGTGAAACAAATGTCACTCAAAAAACGGGAACAGACCAAAAGAAGTGGAAGAGTTAGTGGGTTTGTTTAAAACCTACGCCCTAAAACATATGAGTAATCATGAGAAGTGATTGAAGTGACGTGGGGAAATGTTGCATTGAAAATGATCATGATTACACGTGACGTCATATTAAAAGAGGCATGCAGTCGAAAACTTGAAAGAGAAAATGCCAGAATTCTCCCATCGACAAAGGCTCTGTCGAACATGGCGTTTTGGGGGCAATTTGTTGATAAGCAATTTTTGACAGAGATAACAAGCCTTAAGCTATGAGGTTTATTTGGATGAAAAGGTGTAAGTTTGTTGAAAACAACAGAACCTATCGATCAAGTTGAAAGGTATCGACCAAAAGGAGATAGTCGACGAAAGGCTTAGGATTCAGATGCAATCATCGATGGGCAAAGGTGTTGACAGGTAAGGATTTATGTTGGCGGAAACGATTATCAACCTACAGGCCAGTAAGAAGGTGGAAGATGTTCAAAAAGAGTTTGGAGTAGTTCTCCATAAGGCCCAACGTGGGCTAGTATCCGTCAATGGTTACATTACTTAGGATTTCTATTTAAGAAAATGTTTGTATTTGTGTCATAGATCGTATTTCTTCACATTTAGAGTGTTACACTCAAAGTACATGCATCTAAGAGAGAAACGAGTTTCAATCTTAACAATGTATGAATGCTTCAATATTTAAATTCATAGCAATTTCCAGTCTTTTCACTTTAAATTACAAGTATTGTCTTTAATTTATCTATTTTGCAATTGTCTTCATCTTTTGCCTTTTTACCTTTTATAAACCAATTTCAACCCAAAAACACTAAAAACACTAAGTCTAGGATTATTCTAGCAGATCCTGCAAGTAACCTTTAATAAGAGGCTAGCGATTGTTTCACAGAGAAACAGTGGGGTTCAAACTCATGCGCAATTACAATATCCCTCAGTGTTTTAAACACCGGGGTTCTAAGTCCATATTTTTTATGACGACCTTATTTATGTCGCTACTGTAACTGAGGCATCTCGCGTCCAACGTTACAAGGACTTTTTGTAGTAATGGACATTCCTCAATGGTGAAAATTAATATTTAAATCTTGATATTCCTGAGATCTATTCTTTCGCGACACATGTGCCTATTTCATATGAAAAAGTTAATACAGATGATGTGTATGATATTCGTTATAATCACAAAGAAGACATATGAGAAAACTAACAAGTAAATATTTTTTATTGTTTATTCATAATTTATTATTTGTTATAATTTCTAAGTGATATACTAACAATTATTATATTTCAAAATGTATATTTAGAGACAAAACACCAAAAGACGTTGGGTCATGTTGTGCATCTTGCTTCCTCCAAAATAATGAATCAAGTAAACAATAATTTTGTATGATTTACTTGTTTGATGTAATGATGTATAAAATGCATGACATTTTAGTTTTGAGGTAATAATATATATTTTTAGTTTATAATAATTACCATTTTGGTTTTGATTCACAAATATACTATTTTTTTGTTCTATATTAAAATTCTGGCACACACAATATAAATGTCAAGACTGATGTCTCAACACACAAGCACAATGTCACAACAGATGTTACGACATCTGCTGACAGAACAGAAACTTTTACCAAAATTAAAACTATGCAGAATTATAAAGTGTATAAGGTAAAAGAACACAAAGAGTTGTTAACCCAGTTCGGTGCAACTCACCTACTCTTAGGGCTACCAAGCCAGGAAGGAAATCTATTATCAGTAGTATTAATTCTAAGCCTAAATAGTCTCAGTTTATAACTTATCACTTAATCACTACCCAATGCAATTTCTACCTAAGCACTTCCTAGATATGAGAAATCTCCATCTCACTTCCAATCACCACAATGATAAAAGACTTGCCCCAATCCCAGTGACAACTATAATCAAGCCACAATCACAATGACTCGAAACCAAATTAAACTGAAGTTTACACTTTAATCACAATACTCATACTCTTGCTTAAAAGTTTTAGAGTGAGAACAATAACTTGACATACTGTCAAGTAACAATCAGTTAACTCAAATCATCAAAAGATACATGAGGACATACAGACAAAAACATAAACCCCTTGAAGAATCCTCAAAACCTAAGACTAAGAAAATTTGACTTCCCCTTATTTTTACAAAGTTCTTCGTGATTTCAAGTTTAGGTAGTTTCTTTAAATACTTTTCAGCAATTCTTGGGCCTTGCATCTGCATTCAAATAATCCTTGTTGCACAAGTTGAATGCTGCATCAATCTGTGCAGGAAAATCTCCTTGAATCTTGAAACAAACACAAGGTTTTCTAAATTGTCTCCATCAACCAATTATAGCAACATGTGTACAGCTGAAGATAAATTATTTGTTTCAGATTTATAATTCTCGACCTACGATAAATCAGTGAGATGAAAACAACTAAAATCTCACATAATGAATTAAAGATTTGTCAAGAATAAACACTATGTACTGATGTTGGAATTGAATGTTACAACGTCTACTTTCAAATGAACCTGGCCAACATATTTAAAAATATCTACTTTAACATCAAGTTGCAAACCATATTTTAACAAAAATTATATTAATCCAAAACACATGATACTAATATATATATATATATATATATATATATATATATATATATATATATATATATATATATATATATATATATATATATATATATATATATATATATATATATATATATATATATATATATATATATATATATATATATATATATATATATATATATATATATATATATATATATATATATATATATCAACTTACTCTAAGAATATTTTTTTTTAGCTTACTCCAAATCGTAAGTTTTAAATTGAATCAAATTTAATGGTTAATTTAGTAAAAATATTAATTAATAATTACATTAGATTTAATCTAAAGGATATAATTTAGAATGGTAATTTAAAATATTTTTACATAAAATATTAAAATTGAAAACAAATAAACAAATAAAAATATAAATTTGTGCAACTGTCTATCACATAATCATATAAAATAAGCAGAAAAATAATAAAATACTATAAGTTGTGAAACTAGTTAATGGATGTGGTAAGTAACGGTAAAAAAATATATAATAATTAAATTATTAAATAAATATGAAAAACGTTCAAGTAAGTAGTTAAAGTGTGAACAATTTCAAAAATATAAAACGTATAATTGAAAGAAAAATAGATTACACCAAACTAATATTTTGGTTTTATATATTGTTATTATAGATATATTAAATTTTTTTAACACGCAATTAAATAACTTTATTAATATAATTTATATGATTCCACCAAATATTTTTTAAAATCATGTAATTTGATAGAGTACGCATAATTTTAATCCATAAGAATAATAATTAAAAGTGTGTAAAGAATAATGAGGTTAATCATATAAATATTTTTAAATTAAAAATGTGACTATGGCTTGTATTCTCCTTTTTCTCAAGAATAATATTGATAGCCTTCTCATTTTAAAATTTAGAAAAGAGTCAGTCAAAGGCTTTCAATAACTTCCTGAAGGCAGTTGCTTTTAATCAACTTGTCTCTAGAGACGTGGCAGTTACTATCATTACTATCACTTGATCAAAACTTAATAACCTTTTGAACCTTGCCACGTGTTTTGTATAGGACACTTATGAAAATTATACAGGTTCATCAAACTCTATATAAACGAACCTTTCCCTCTAATATTTGAAAGAAAGTGAAACTGACACAATATAGAAGAGTGAAAATGCAGGCAGCAAAGAAAGCAGTTGAGACCATCAAAGAAACCGCCGCCAACATTGGTGCTTCTGCTAAGTCTGGCTTAGAGAAGACCAAAGCCACCGTCCAAGAAAAGGTTATTTTAAACTATTTTTGAAGTTATTTACGTTGTTTTTTTTTTTATATTCGAAATGAAATGTTTGGAATGTTTTTGTTGTAGGGTGAGATAATGAGTGCAAGTGATCCCATGCAGAAGGAAATGGCGACAGAGAAAAAAGAGGAGAGAATCAACCAAGCGGAAATGGAGAAACAGGAGGCACGTGAGTATAACGCTGCGGTCAAAATGTCTCACGTGACTGAGGGTCATTCCTATACCGCTACTGGGCCCACCAGTGTGACTGCTTCTGGATACTCCATCATTGGTGACTATGGAACTGGACAACCAATGGCTACTGATAACGTGTCAACGATTCCGGGTATTGGACTTGGGCTTGGAGCAGATGTGATAGGCTCACACCCGGTTGAGAGTAACACGGGTATGGGTAGTACTACTGCTGAGGCCCATGTTGTCCACGTGGATGGAACTGTTCTAGGGGGTGGGCCTACTAATTATTAGTTATGTGTATTTGTGTGTAGTAATTAAGGTTATGGGTTTGTGACTAGTATGTTGTTTCTGTTTAGTTAATGTCTAGGTTTGTACCGTAGCGGTGCTAGTGATTTCATAGGTTGTTGGTTTGTCTCTGTTTTAGATATGGGACCAAGTGGTGTTGTACAAAAAGGTACATCACTTTTGTTTGTTTGTTTCATTAACTAAATCAAAGTGTATGCGTAATGTTTTGAGTTGTTGGTTTTTATTGCAGTTTGGAGTGGAAAATGAAAATTTTCTATTAATTTAGCACAACAACATAGGTACTTTGTAGGATGTTTTACTCGACCATTTAGGTTGGATAGAAAACATTTGTAAAACAAAAACAAATAAAAATAAAAATATGATTATATTTGAAATTGAATAGGGTTCAAAATTGATGACGGTTATATATTTTTTAAATGGAGAATAGTAGTAACAGTTGGCGCCATCTGGTTAGTTCCCTTTCTGATTCCTTAGGAGAAAAAGAAACTGAAGTCAATTTTAACATTGTTAACACAAAATGGGAACAATCGCAGTAAAAAATAGAAAGATTTTAAAAAGGTTATTTTCGAATGTTTTAGCATGGTCGTTGCTAAAAATTATTAGCAAAGCTAGAGTAACAACACTGCCGTTAGTCACCATCATGGTGCTTTCAAAAATAAACCATGGTTATTTGACATTATGTGTTCCTCAACAACCAGTAACAAAAATCCATCCAAGCAATAAAATTTGTACAAGAAACACAAAACTTAAGAGGTGAAAATTACAAAACATATCACACCAAAACTCTCATGGTGTATGTGCCTCAAGGTCATCCTACAAAACAATGAAGTAACTCTCATGGTGTATGTACCTCAAGGTCATCCTACAAAACAATGAAGTATATAATATCAGTGTTAATATGATGACAATATATGTGGTTATACTGGATATCGTTAGAAAAAAGAGATGCTAGAAATATGATAGATTCTTGTCTCCGAAAATTGTTATATAGAAAGAAGAATTGGAAAAACGATTTTTTTTTTTTTAATAACTAGGTATTAAAAAATTATTTCGTAAATAATCATGTTTCGAAGAAAATTACGCAAATAATTATGTTTCAGAAAATCCCACAAGGGAGGAGTCAACCCAGTTGGCACCTACACCTTATTTTAAAGGGGAGGCGCCATCTCACTTGGCGCCTAGGTGTGAAAGGTTTGCCCTAAGCCAAGTGAGATGGTGCCTTAGTGCAATTGGGAGACGATTTTTCGTGTTTTTTATTTTAAATGCGGTGCGTTACGTAAACGATATAGGATCAACAAAATTGACTTTTTATTTAGAAAATATGATTACACAAATAACGATTACATAAAAAATACAGATTAATCAGTGGTCTCCCAGAACTCGGTAATGACCCCTGATTCCGCATCCCCGTCCTCGCCTTTCTCGTGATGGGTTTCGTCGCGTTTCCTGTTGTGGCAGAGTCGATGGCCCAGCGAAGTTAATGCGTTCCAGATCCATGAAATTGATCAGATCTCCATATCTAGAAGATCCGCTTTGGTACAATCGGTTGCCCATACCCTCAAAATTTGGTCGTGTTGGTGGTGGGTGGGATTCCATGGTTGGTCTGTAGCACTGGTCGTCTGAGTACGGGGGGTAGAAAGAAAAAGGATCTTGGGGTGTTTGGTATTGAGGATGTTGGGTGCTTTGGTGATGTTGTGGTTGATGGTAAGTTGGTTCGGTTGGTTCATAATCTTCGGACAATCCCAGATCAGGGCTAAGGTTGGATGTTTAGGGGCCCATATTGGGATATGCAGAAGACTGAAATTGTGTGTGGGGTATGCGGATGTATTGGTATTGTGATTGAAATTGTGGTTGGGTGTGAGGCATATGGGGATATTGGTACTGAGGTGGTGATTGTGGTTGGTTGCGGGACATGTGGGTGTAATTGTATTGTGGTGGTGATTGTGGTTAGGTGTTTGTGGTTCTGTTTCGTTGGGGGGTTGGTGGGAGGTTGATGTGTGTTGGGTTTGTTGTTGGGAAAATGAGGGTTGTGCCCATTGTGTTTGTGGGTCAACCAAAATGAGACACGTGCATTTCAGGGGTACTAATTGATCTGTACCAAGATAAATTACTGATTCGTGTGTCACATACTACCATAGTTGAGGAAAACTGGGAATTGCAAGACATGTCGGTGACGCCTCTGCCACATCTTACACCATTCTGGAGCAAAATCTTTTCAGTTGGTAAGACCCCATTAGGCGTCGACCCTTTTGAGATGCCACGGGGACAAACAAGTCGGATCGCCGGATATCTCTTGATGCATTCCAAACTGCATCTTGACACGGTCGCTGTGGTGCATCTCCATAACATTGAACCGTGTGATTGCAGTTTTTGCACTCCAAATTGCTGCATCCTCGGGGTTTGTTTCATGGTCCAAACCCAAATATAGTCTCCAGACAAACTGCGGATAAAATTAAATCAGGTTAATGAAAACGTAATAAATAAATAATTTAAAAGTAGAAAAGTTGAAAGGTATGACGTACATCATCCGGTCCAAAGTGATCCAATAGATTGCGATATAGAGCGACATTGAATCTTGGATTCTTGTCGTAATCCATACCCCTCACGCAGAGATGAATAGTAATAAATTATATAAGTTGATGACTTACGTTGTTGCGTATGGAAAAACGAATGTGTTGTTGTTGATGGGGTTTAGGGACTCCATCCTCCACCAACCTCAGGCTTGAAGTAAAAAAGTGCACCCATAAAATATACATTTTTCCTTGATTGCATTTTTACACAAGGAACTGTATAGATGGGCTAAAACAGCAGAATTCCAACTATACTTTCTAGTTTTTTCGAAGTCTCTAAGTAAATTTAAATACATAAAATTTACACTATTTCCCGTACTTTCGGAAAATAAAAAGGTTCCAAATAGTATCATTATATAATTTCTAGCTTTTATTACCTTAGCTAGCTCGAAGGAATTTTCGTTCAATTCCATAGTCGCATAATAATTTTTTAGCTCAGTAAGTAGTATACCCTGACCTCTCGCACCACCACCTTCAACCATATCCCTGCCCAACAATTCTTCACACAGAGAATTGGATTATTGAACCGACCTGTTAACCGCTTTACCGTCGACAGAGAGACCCAATAACATGTATATGTCCTCTAGTGTGACGGTACATTCACCTATTAATAGATGAAATGTATAGGTCTCTGGTCTCCACCTTTTCAACATTGTAAGTATGAACTTTGAATCAATCGTGCAGTTGGAGATGTTTATAACGTTTCTGAAACCTACGTATTTGAGATAGGGTACGATCAACGGGTCGGGAGCAAGGTAGTTGTGTGACCGGATTTTGAATCTTTTAGTATCCTATGTTAATAATGTAAAAAGTGTAAGAGTAGGTAAGATGAATAAAGCATTAATAGAAGTATGAAAAATGTATAAGTATACAAGAAACTTACAAACGCTGCAATGTTGTCCCTTGTGCCTCTATGAGAATCGCCCATTGTGAGAAGAGCCATTATTGAAAATGTCTGAGATTATGAAAGAGTTTGAAATTGTATGAGATTATGAAAGAGTTTGTAGTAGAGAGTGAGACGATTGTGAATGTGATAGAAGTATGTGAGGCTCTGTATTTATAGGCAAAATTTTATCATAGAGTAAGTGAGGTGGTAGGCGGGTGCATGCATGCATGATAAGTGTCACTCTTGTAGTGTAGGTGCAGGCTACGTGGCAACATTGGGGAAGGCATCTTTGTATGCATGTAACATGATTGGACGTGAAGGGAGGCACCATTGGACTTGACGAAAGAGTACAAAAATGAAAGGTGTCGCCATTCCAATTGGCGAATAAGAGGTGGCATGGGTTGCAGTGTAGGTGCAGGCTAGGTGACAGCCTTGGAGAAGGCATCTCTGCATGCATGTAACACGATTGGACGTGATGGGAGGCGCCTTAGAGGCTGGCATGGGTTGCAGTGTAGGTGCAGGCTAGGTGACAGCCTTGGAGAAGGCATCTTTGCATTCATGTAACACGATTGGGTGTGAAGGTAGGCGCCATTGGAGTTGGCGAAAGAGTACAAAAATGAAAGGTGTCGCCATCCCTGTTGGCGAATAAGAGGTGGCATGGGTTGCAGTGGGCTAGGTGACAGCCTTGGAGAAGGCATCTCTGCATGCATGTAACACGATTGGACGTGATGGGAGGTGCCTTAGAGGTTGGCATGGATTGCAGTGTAGGTGCAGGATAGGTGACAGCCTTGGAGAAGGCATCTCTGCATGTATGTAACACGATTGGACGTGAAGGTAGGCGCCATTGGAGTTGGAGAAAAAGTACAAAAATGAAAGGTGTCGCCATCCCTGTTGATGAATAAGAGGTGACATGGGTTACAGTGTAGGCGCAGGCTAGGTGACAGCCTTGGAGAAGGTATCTCTGCTTGCATGTAACACGATTGGACGTGATGGGAGGCGCCTTAGAGGTTGGCATGGGTTACAGTGTAGGTGAAGGCTAGGTGACAGCCTTAGAGAGTGCTTACTGTTGGTTTATTCAAATTCAGTACAGCCTATTTAATCTTACATTTATCAAAACACCCATACAATTAATCACTCAAACACTAGAACATTCAAAAATTCAAGCAATTAACTCATAAACTTCAAACCTTCAAACCTTCAAACAGTCATACACAATGGCCTCTGCACCCCAATATGTGATCAATGCAGATTTCAACGGTGAGACATACATTTTTCCCACCTATGGATTTTTGTTTAGAGACACTGAGAACATCCGATTTTGTTTAAACAGGAAAGCCAATTTCTTGTACTTCAAAAAACGATTTGAGGCCAAACTTAGACGAGGTCCCGTGACAAATATTTTATCAGAATCCGGTTTTTTTTTGTAACAACCAAATAATATTTTATAAGGTTGAGATTCAAGATGACGAGGACCTTCAGAATATGTTTTCCAGTCATGAGTATTATGGGTACGACTCTATTGAGTTGTA